CAGTGGGCAAATGTACAAAATCAGCAGGGGATCAAATACTTTTTTCCCTCACTGTACATGTGGTCTGCGGTTGTGAGGTCGGTTGGACGTACTGTCAAATTCCATAAAATGACGTTGGAGGCAGCTTATGGTAGAGAAATTAACATTCAATTCTCTAGCAGCAGCTCTGGTGGACATTGCTGCAGTCAGCATGCCAATTGCATTCTCCCTCAAAATGTTAGAGTGATTAGCTTTTTGTGCGTATGGAAAATTTCTAATACCTTTTTTTTCAGCTCATGAAACACAGATTTTTGTTCAGTGTATATATAGATAGATAATACTTGATGACTTTGCAATAATATTTTTTCAACATAAATCTACTGTTCTATTCCTTCCGACTGTCCACCCCCCCACCCTTTCTAAGCTTTATACCTGTAATGGGTTTTGATCATGTGGCACTAAAACAGGCCTTTGCTGTAATTCTTCTCTTAACCAGTTGGGGGCGCCAGACTCCCCGAGCAGAGGGCAGAGGCTTTCGGCCAATCAGCAGGCTGAACAGAACCAGGTCCAAACTACCACGTTGTTGTTGTTGTTATGGCCTGTAGTTGCAGTGTTGTTGACAACGTTGTCTCATAAAAGCTTCATCTAGCCTTTGTGCCACCATAGATCATAGTACACTGCCAGCTGCATGCAACCCAAGCAGGTTACTCACCTGTGGGGCTAAATCTAAAATGATCCCTATTCCCTATGTAGTGCATTACTTTCAGCCCTATGGGGCACTGACCAAAAGTAGTGCACTATATAGGGAATAGGGTGCCATTTCAGATGCATCCTAGTGTTTCAGTGGTAGAGTCGGCTTGCTAGGATTACTAATGCATAGAGAGCACCAGCTGTACTTCAACCCAATCAACTACACTGTAGAATTGACTAAAACGTGTTTGTTGATTTTGCTTTCTAACTGTGTGCTCTAACAACTTTGATTTCAATTGAGGTGTTTTTTCCGGTTGGTTTAAACTGCATTTAGTTTTGTTGGTTTAAACTGCATTTAGTTTTGTTGGTTTAAACTGCATTTAGTTTTGTTGGTTTAAACTGCATTTAGTTTTGTTGGTTTGTTTTATGCACTTTATACCATTTGCCTTTTGACTGGGCATTAATGGTTGTGTTGCATTGGCTAACCTTTTTTCATATATGCTTATTCCTTTTTGAGAGAAAGAAGCTAAGACTATTGGGATATAGCCCTTGACCATCTGTCAGTATTTCATTTATTTTCCTCCTCCCTCTCTCCTTTTATTCCTCCTGTTCCTCCTCCTCCTCTTTCTCTTCCATAGGATGAGATGTTAAATGCTAACCGTGGAGGCTCCAAGTCCAACACACCCATGTCTCCTAAAGGGGGCTCCAGGTCGGGGACCCCCATGTCCAGCCAAGGAGGAGGCTCCAAAATGTCCTCGCAACAAGGTGGCTCTAAATCAGCCACCCCCATGTCTTCTCAAGGAGGGTCCAAATCCGGTACCCCCATTTCATCTCAAGGGGTAGACTCTATGTCAGTTACCCCAATGTCCACGCAAAGCGGTTGCTCCAAATCTGTCACCCCAAAGTCCAGTCAAGGGGGCGGGTCTATGTCGGCCACTTCCATGTCTACTTCCGTGTCTGACGTTGCCATGGCGTCTGTGGAAACGCCCCTCCAGGAAGAGTTAGAGGAAGTGGGCAAGGGTCTGAACAGGAACCTGGACAGAAGCAACAGGATGCCAGAGAACATCAGCAGTAAGAACACCACAGTACAGGAGGGTCAGGAGGGACAGGACTCAGAGCTGAGAGGAGGGGCAGGACCTCTCACAGGCACAGGTCAGTACTGCAGCTATAGGGCATAAACTGGGATAACATGGGGATTGGCTATGTTGGGGGACTTGGATTAGGGACATTAAAAAACCTACTAAAATGTGTTTGGCATCACATTGGCCTCACCACTGTATTCACCATGTCAAACGTACCCATATGTCCCACAAGGATAATACTCAAACATGTCATTCCCTCTCCTCTCCAGACGCAGCAGATGACAACACTGAGTCATCGGAGGTGCAGGCCATCATAGAGTCCACTCCTGAACTGGACATGGACCTCAGTGGCTACGGAGACACCAGGTAGGGTCAACAGGAAGTAGTGTTTCTATCTCCATCCTGAACACTGAATCATCATTTATGTGTCAAACTGTACAGACAATCCATTCACGCTTGGTCCTTCCAGCTGGATATGAAAACAAATACTTTATTTTATGATGTAATGTATCGTAGCTGTGGTCACTCAGATGACCTCCCTCTCTCCCTCCCCCATCCCTCTCTCCCTCCCTCCCCATCCCTCTCTCTCTCCCTCCCCATCCCTCTCTCTCTCCCTCCCCCATCCCTCTCTCTCTCCCTCCCCCATCCCTCTCTCTCCTCCCCTCCCCCATCCCTCGCTCCTCCTCCCTCCCCCCATCCCTCTCTCGCTCCCTCACCATCCCTCGCTCTTCTCCCTCCCCATCCCCGGCCTCTCGCTCCCCCTTCCCCCATCCCTCTCTCTCTCCCTCGTGCTCTCTCTCCCTCCCTCCCCCATCCCCTGCTCCCTCTCCCATCCCCATCCCCCATCCCTCTCCCTCCCCATCCCCCATCCCTTCCTCCTCCCACTCCCCCATCCCCTCTCTCCCTCCCCCCCCATCCCTCTCTCCTCCCTCCCCCATCCCTCTCTCTCCCTCCCCCAATCCACCTCTCTCCCTCCCCCATCCCCCTCTCCTCCCTCCCCCATCCCCTTCTCCTCGTCCCTCCCCCATCCCCTCTCCTCTCCTCCCCCCCCCCCTCTCCCTCCTCCTCACCTCGCCCTCCCTCCCCATCCCTCTCTCTCATCTCTCCTCCCTCCTCCCATCTCTCTCTCTTCCCCCCATCCCTCGCTCTCCCTCCCCATCCCCCTCCCTCCTCCCCCTCCCCTCCTCTCTCGCCCTCCCCATCCCTCTCTCCCCCCATCACTATCTCCCCCATCCCTCTATCCCTTCTCCCATCCCTCTCTCCCTCCTCCCATCCCTTTCTCCCTCCCCATCATTATATCCCCACCCCCCCCCCCCTCTCCCCCCATCCCTCCCTCTCTCCCTCCCTCCCCCTCCCTCTCTCTCCCATCCCTCTCTCTCCCATCCCTCTCTCCCTTCTCCGCATCTCTCTCTCTCCCATCCCCCTCTCCCTCCCCCATCCCTCTCTCCAGTACTCCTACTAAAGGAGTAGGTATAGAAAACATGGCGTTCGACAGGAACACAGAGTCTCTGTTTGCGGAGCTGTCCTCGGCAGGACCCGACATGGAAGTAGACATAGCAGACATGGACGAGGGGGCCGACCTGCTCGGTAAGACACGCCCACCGTAGACACTTGCCATCTCATACCCACGCCTTGAGTAAATCTGGAGAACTCTACCTCAATCCCAAATGAATGGCAAAGACTCGACTGACACTTGTGTGTACATCCCATATACTAGGATGGACTCCCCTTTCTACAGAAATAGTTAGCCTTTTCTCCCATATCACATTAACTTTCTATCTCCATACTGTATATTTCATCTCATTATTTCATACTTTTCTTGGATCCTCTCTTCAGATGAGTTTTCTGGTGTGTATCAACCATTTCATTCATCCCCCTTCTCCCTTATCACTCTCATATCCTTCTCCCTAGTTCTCCCTTTTTAGCTCCCAAACTATGACTAAAATATACAGTGGGATCTCCCTCTTGGTGAGGTTGTAGGTTAGGTATTCTTTAGGCTGTATATTGACCTGGTAGGGTCCCGGTAGGGTCCCCGTAGAGTCCCCGTAGAGTCCCCGTAGTAGAGTCGAGTCGTGTGCTGTAAGACGATCTTGTCAAGTTAATCAATTTTGTTTTCCACCTCATATTGCCAGCATGGGTGTCAGACTCAGACCGTAACTTCCTGGGTAAGACTGAAGGAGGGTGTGTATCATGTTGTTTTATATCCTTCCATTTTAGACTGGAGGAATTCCCAATTCTTATTTCATTGTTTTCCTTTTCATCCCTGCTGGTCTCTTCTTCTAAGGTATGGGTCGTGAAGTGGAGCACCTCATCCACGAGAACACTCAGCTGCTGGAGACCAGGTAAGGCATGTTTTCAGATCACCTGCATCCATGCTCAAGAAATCAATGGAACATTATTAATCAGTAAGAGCATGAATGTCCCACGTTGTGTAGTAAATAGCACACTACTGCCACCTGCTGTTCACGGAGGGATTTAGCTTTCATCAAAGACAGAGTTCACCTAGAGCAGTGTTTCTGAATCCTGGTCCTGGGGAATCAAAGGGGTGCACATTTCTGTTTTTGTCCTAGCACTAAACACCCAATTCCATTAATCAAAGTTTTGATGATGAGTTGATTAGTGGAATCAGGTGTGTAATGCTAGGACAAAAACAGAAATGTGTACCCCTTTGATTCCCCAGGACCAGGATGCAGAAACACTGGCCCAGAGAAAGTGGGTGTAGGGCCTAATGATCATGCTGACTAATCTCTGTCCTCTCGGTCTCGTCAGAAATGCGTTGAACGTGGTGAAGAATGACCTGATAGCGCGTGTGGATGAGCTATCGTGTGAGAAGGAGGTGTTGCAGGGAGAGCTGGAGGCTGTGACTCAGGCCAAGACCAGACTGGAGGAGAAGAACAAGGAACTGGAAGAGGAACTGAAGAAGTCAGTCTCTACTCTACCTTTCTTCTCTCTGTCAGTTTTATTCCCCTGTTGAGATTAATATAGGATCCCCAGGCATCTCCAGTGTGTCTGTGTGTGTTCATCTCCAGTGTGTGTGACGTGTGTGTGTGTGTGTGTGTTCATCTCCAGTGTGTGTGACGTGTGTGTGTGTTCATCTCCAGTGTGTGTGTCTGACGTGTGTGTTCATCTCCAGTGTGTGTGACGTGTGTGTGTGTTCATCTCCAGTGTGTGTGTCTGACAAGTGTGTTCATCTCCAGTGTGTGTGACGTGTGTGTGTGTTCAGCTCCAGTGTGTGTGTCTGATGTGTGTTTTCAGCTCCAGTGTGTGTGACGTGTGTGTTCATCTCCAGTGTGTGTGACGTGTGTGTTCATCTCCAGTGTGTGTGACGTGTGTGTTCATCTCCAGTGTGTGTGACGTGTGTGTTTCTCTCTTAGGGTTCGGGCCGTGGCGGAGGAAGACAAAAGGAAGACTAAGAGTGAGAACAGTGAGGAAGATGTGAGTTCTGTGTGTGTGTGTGTGTGTGTGTGTGTGTGTGCGCGCGCGGACATGTGTGTCTAATGATGGTGCTGATACCACTCCTGGCAGGCGGATGTTCCTACAGCCCAGAGGAAGAGGTTCACCAGAGTAGAGATGGCCAGAGTCCTCATGGAGAGGAACCAGTACAAGGAGAGACTAATGGAGCTACAGGAAGCTGTACGATGGACAGAGATGATACGGTGAGAAGAGAGGGGAGGAGGAGAGGAGAGGGAGGAGGGGAATCTTGTAACTAAGAGCCAATTTTATGCTTGATCCGAAAATGTGGTCGGAGGCTCCGTATGGAGGGTGTGACGCAATTGCGGAGCCTCCGGAGGCATGCAGAGGCCAAATCAAGCTCCGTACACATAGCCATGCGCCTCCCAAATGTTGTAACAATGCGGAGGGCTCTCTATAGCTCCCCATTGACATGATTGGTTGACGGTAGGTGGAGGCTGGAGGTCCTGTATAAACACAAACTCACTTTCTTGACAACAGCTCTTCTCAACAGCTCTGCGCTGCGCCGTGAAGCGCAAAAAATATGAATGCCCTGACTTCTGCAGAGGCCTCGTGACCGTAAATGCTGCACGGCCAATGCAGATGTCGGATTGACCATGTAGCACCTTTAAAGCTGAGCTAGTCCAAAACAAAGTGATGCATATTGAAGAGTTTTTGTCTTCTGTGTTCCACCCACACAATGTTCTTATTGATAAATATGCACCCCTTCTAGTGCGTTCCCTCCTGGGCGATTCTAGCTGGTTGAGTAACAAGATCGTTTTTGTCTCAGCTGAATAGTGAGGACTCATTGTTACAACATTTAAATGTGTTCTCTTCCCTCAGAGCATCTAGAGAGAACCCTGATGCCGCAGACAAGAAGAAATCCAGCATCTGGCAGTTGTAAGCTTCCCTCCTTTTTTACCATCACTCATTTTCTACTACCACTCCTTTTTTACCATCACTCATTTTCTATTACCACTCCTTTCTAGCTCTCATTTTCTTCACTCCTTCAATACAATCCTTCTCCTTTACTTAACTCTTCTTTTCTCCCTACACTCCTCCTCTCAGAGCTGTCATACGTACCTGAAGCTAAAGTCACTGTACGATGATTGTTGACCATCGTTGATTCTGTTTCCTCCTTTTGTTTTCTCTGTTTTATTATTTAAAAAAATCGTGTTTTGATCTCCAGTGTGTAGGTAAACCTTTGCCATGCTAAGGGTCTTCTTGATTCTGTTTCTTAACAAACAACACCAATAAACCATGCAGGGAGTGCCTGCCTGATCAGAGAATGGCTTTTACTTCAAGTGTCATTTTGTTTTTGTTGTAAGTCGGCGTGAGTTCACATTTTTTGAAATCTCCCAAGGGAAACCAACACGTATGCTCTGTTTTCAAACGTTTAGAAAACTATTCACCTACAAACGGAAGGTGTCTGTGTGTACCTAGTACGCATATGAAATATATTTTACTGAAATGTCTTAAACTGCAATTTCCTGATACAGGCTCTCCCTGTTGAGTTTCAGTAGGAATGGTAATGGTGTGTGGTTATGTTTGACATGTATTGTTGGAGAGGGGTGTAATGCGTCTGACTAATCATTTATTTATATTTTAGGCAGAGGGTAAAGCATTTATTTGTTGGAGAGGCGGTGTGTGCGTGAAATGTTAAATGCATGTTTATTTATGAAGAAATCCCCTGTGTTTTCTGTTGCCCTCTGCTCCTCTGGTCCCTCTCTCTCTGTTATATCATGCCTGTTGTTGTTGTTGTTGTCGTATGTGTGCAGGAGGTGTGATGGGGTTGGGATGTGGGAGGGTGTGTGTGATGGGGTTGGGATGTGGGAGGGTGTGTGTGATGGGGTTGGGATGTGGGAGTGTGTGTGTGATGGGGTTGGGATGTGGGAGGGTGTGTGTGATGGGGTTGGGATGTGGGAGGGTGTGTATGATAGGGGGGTGTGATGGGAGAAAGTGGGCGTACGGTGGAATAGATTGTTGTATTCCAGAGTCAGATGCTGTGTACAGTATGCAATCTGTGATTGGACAGATTTCTGAACTGACACACTGAGTTTGTGACCGAGAGGGAAGGCTATTTTCTGCTTTATGGAGAGGGTCATGTAGTATATATGTTTTGACCTGATGGACTGTAAATATTTGATCTTAAAGAATCCTGATATTTCTGGACCTAGTCTTCTAGTCTTCTCATCTCACTCTGCTACTTAACAAGCGTTGTGTCTAGAGCTGGGATTAGCAGCAATAGTTTGGAACGTTGTGTTTTGTGTTGACATACTAACTGCCTGGTTCGTGTTACAGTATTAACCAACGCATTCCCTGCTCTCCCATCCCCTGTAAAATCACTGAGTGGAGACTGGCTCGCTGTTAAACCCTGCTTTTGGTCGTAGTAGTGGGTGTGTGTGGGAGGGTAATCAACCCTTGATTTGATTATTTATCCCTTAAACCCTGCCGCTGCTGCTTTGTCCACCTTTTACCCCTCTATGTGTCTCTGTGCTCTTTCTTTCTACCCCTCCCTCCATCCCTCTGGCCCTCCCTCCATCCTCCAGTTTCAGCCGGTTGTTCAGTTCAAGTGGCGCAGCGGCTAAGAAGCCGGCGGAGGCGGCTCCGGTCAACGTGAAGTACAATGCCCCCTCCTCCCAGGTCCAGCCCTCCGTAAAGAAGAGGAGTGCAGCGCTGCAACAGTTACCCAGCGACAAGAGCAAGGCCTTCGACTTCCTCAATGAGGAGTGAGTGTTGGAGACATCTACTCATCTGTCCATTCACTCATGATCCCCCCATTTATTCATACAGTCTTTCACTCATCAAGGATTGAATCATCCTTTGGCCCCACCCTCCATGCCCCCATCCTTTCAGTTCATTTATCTATCTACGCCGGATTGTATGTCCAGAATAGATGTGATGTTTTTTATGCATCCCCCCCCCCCCCCCCCCCTTCAGGTCTGAGGCAGGCAACATGGTGTCTCGTAGGGAGCAGAAGAGAGCCCAGTACAGACAGGTGAAAGCCCACGTTGAGAAGGAGGAGGACAGCCGGGTACAGGCCTACGGGTGGAGCCTGCCGCAGAAATTCAAGGTAGGACAAGTCACTTTGTGGATTACTTTATATGGCTGACTTTTTATAGACGGGCTGTAGGTAACGTTAGGTTACGTTAGGTTAAGCGACTCCAGGTATTCTGACCACGCTGTTTTATTTTACAGGTGGCCAACGGTGGTCAGACGTCAGAGAACAAGATGAAGAATCTACCTGTACCGGTCTATATCCGACCACTGGATGAGAAAGATGCTACCATGAAGGTGTGTGTACCAGAGTATGTGAGCGGCGTGGAGCTGGAGCGGAGCGTGCCCATTTTGACTGGAGCGTGGAGCGAGTTCCCCAAAGGCTGGAGCATCGGCCTTCTCGCCTGCTCCAGTAGCGCTCACTTCACCAGCTCAGAGCATGCCCGGCCCAGCATGCATTTGTAGTCTACTTGTGTGCTGCTATAGCCCCTTGCTTTAGCTACTGTCATGGAGTTAGCTAAATATTTTCATAAAGAAATTGATCAAACACACAGCTGCAAAAACAAGGTGACTTACAAAGATGAGGGCCAAGAGCAAGAGAGGGAGTGCAGGGATGTAGTGTCCACAAATAAAGAATCATTGTGGAATCTGAAAAGACACGTATCCGGAAAGCATGATGGTGTACTTAGTACGTGCACATGCTAACAGAAAGGAACGAGGTGGGTAGATAACTAGAAAGGATGATAAGTGGGATTTCCGACCGCTCAACTCCACTCCCATGCTTCAACTCCACTCCCATGCTTCAACTCCACTCCCATACTCTATTCTTACCTTGTATGTCGCTCTATATACAGTGCCGTATTGCTAACTGTGTGTCTCCCTCCCGTAGCTGTGGTGTGCTGTGGGTGTGAACCTGTCGGGGGGTAAGACTCGTGACGGCGGTTCAATAGTAGGAGCCAGTGTGTTCTACAGTGACCTGACCAGCCCTGGTACTGAGAGCCCTCATAGCAAGATAGGATCACAGAGCAGTCTGGACAAACTGGACCAGGACCTAAAGGTACATGTACACAACACACACAGTCACACGGTCATTCAGCATGCGCTCATACAATACAGACACACAGACACGCTCATACACACACACTCATACACCTTTTCCCACTGTGTGTGTGTGTGTGTGTGTGTAGGAGCAGGAGAAGGAGCGGCATCACCAGGAGGAGCTGTCCTCTCTGGTGTGGATCTGTACCAGTACTCAGGCCACCACTAAGGTCATCGTCATCGATGCCAACCAGCCTGGGAACGTCCTGGAGAACTTCTTTGTCTGCAACTCCCACGTCCTCTGCATGGCCAGCGTGCCAGGTCTGTGTGTTTGTGTGTGGGTCAAGTGTGTGTGCATTTTATATGTACACTCAAGACCCAGCAAAATACGTATATTTCTTTTGATTGTAGCTAACCATAACATGTTTGTTTGTACACGTTTATATATGGTGTTTGTGCGTGTGGGTGTGTGTGTGTGTGTGTGTGTGTGTGTGTGTGTGTACGTGTGTGCTTGCGTGTGACGTGTGTGTGTGTGTGTGTGTGTCAGGTGCCAGAGAGACCGACTACCCGGCAGGGGAGGAGGTACCCCATAACCTGAAGGCGGGGTCAGGTGCTGAGGGCGGGACTCTGGAAGCCAGCACAACCAGCAGCGGCTCAGGGGGCGAAGCTGGAGTGCTGGCAGGGATCAATGTGGTTGGCTGCTCTACCGAGGGGGAGGTGGCTACCCCCCAGACAGCAGTCACAGAGAATGAGACAGACACCGGTAAGAGACGTCCCTCTGAAGTTTGAGCATCACAATTCTTAGCAGTTTCTACTGATCTAGTCACACTGGACTGATGTGCTAAGTTAGTGGATTTTATGCTAGTTCCAGAGGTGGGTGATTGCTGGGTATGCATTTGCTAGCTAGACTAGAGGTCTTTGGACCCGGACCTGAACAGACCCGAGAACAATCAGACCTGAACCCGAATGGAACCGAGGACAACTTGACCTAGACCCGATCAGTACCCTAACGGGTCTGGTTCTAGATTGGACCCGAGTGACAACAATGTTATGTTTATCAGCAAAGTTGAACTTCTGTTTAACAAATAGGTCTTTATATGTCGGCTAGGCCTTCTATAAGTTAATAAATTAACCTTATTAGCGTAAAATAAATATGCTATAGCCTATGCAGAGCTGTGGTCAGGTCCATTCGGGTTCACTCAGTCTGTCAGCTGTAGCTACATAGACCCGATGACAATCGAACCAGTGAAGCCCTCTAACCTAAACCCTTTCACCCCAGTTTCTCCATGGAGAGATCTGCTGAATTCCAAGGTCTACCCTACAGGGTTATAGAAACATGTGATTTGGACTATGGATTCCCTGTCCGTTTAATAAGTCTTCTACTATTATTCTCTCTCCCGCTCTCCTCCCTGTGTAGACTCCAAGGCTGCAGAGGAGGCTACTGAAGCTACAGAGGCCAGTGCAGGTCCTGCAGGCCCGGAGCATGACTTAAGTCAGAGGGGAGTCTACACTGAACATGTCTTCACTGACCCTCTGTGTGTTCAGAGTACTAGTCCTGGGAAGACGCCAGCCAACTACACACAGAGGTATGGGATACATGGACGGACACACACACACACACACACACACACACACACACACACACACACACACACGCACGTTATAACATCCTGTTTCCATTCTCAGGGAGTCTGATCTGGTAAAGGATGGTGTGAGCTCCAACCCTAACCCAGAGGAACAGGACCTGATGAGAGAAGAAGCCCAGAAGATGAGCAGTGTTTTACCTACCATGTGGCTGGGGGCACAGAACGGATGGTGAGATGCCAATCCACTAATTAATCAATCAGATATGTTTATCCATCTCATATTGATCTCATCAGTCAAACTGGTGTGTGTTTTTCTGTGTGTGTGTGTTCCAGTGTGTACGTGCACTCGTCAGTGGCCCAGTGGAGGAAGTGTCTCCACTCTATAAAGCTGAAGGACTCTGTCCTGGGCATCGTCCATGTGAAGGGGAGAGTGTTGGTGTCTCTGGCTGATGGAACACTGGCTATCTTCCACAGAGGAGTGGGTAAGGTTGACGCGTTTCCATATGCTTTCTTACATGTGTTTTTGTGTCTGTTGATCTACTTGAATCCTATATAAGGGTATCAATTAAAGGATTTATATGCTGATGCTAACACCCCCCCCCCCCCTCCCCCTCCAGATGGTCAGTGGGATCTGACCAACTACCACCTGTTAGACCTGGGCAGACCCCACCACTCTATCCGCTGTATGACCGTGGTTCACGACAAGGTCTGGTGTGGCTTCAGGAACAAGATCTACGTGGTCCAGCCCAAAGCCATGAAGATAGAGGCATGCCTGACACACACACACAAACAAACACACACACACACACACAGAATCACACAGGCTCAGACAGACTCAGACGGACTGACTCACATACCTAACACAGAAGTCTAGCCATCCACAGATTATAGTTTTAACCCTCCTTTTCCATCCTGTCTCTCCATCTCCCCCTCTCCCCCCCCCGTAGAAGTCGTTTGATGCCCACCCCCGTAAGGAGAGCCAGGTGAGACAGCTGGCGTGGGATGGAGATGGTATCTGGGTGTCCATCCGACTGGACTCTACTCTGAGACTGTTCCACGCCCACACACACCAACACCTGCAGGACGTCGACATAGAGCCCTACGTCAGCAAGATGCTGGGTGAGGAACCAAGGGCATTTAAATACCTGTTATTGTGTTCTGTGTTCTATGCTTCTAACGCAGCGTGATTGTGGTGTTTGTGTGTCCTTGTTAGCTGAATGATATGGGACAGGGATTCATGGCATTAGAAAGCCCAAGTCACATACAGGAAATACAGACCCATACTTCATTATTTCTATTTTTTTAACAATACGTCATGTTGATCTCCCTCAGGTACGGGGAAACTGGGCTTCTCGTTTGTCAGGATCACAGCTCTCATGGTGTCCTGTAACCGTCTCTGGGTCGGCACCGGCAACGGAGTCATCATCTCTATACCTCTCACTGACAGTAAGGGGAAGTCTCTCTCTCTCCATCCCCCGCTCTCTGTGCCCATCACTCTCTCTCTCCCCTCTCTCTATGTAATGATTCATTTCTCTCTCCATCCCACCATCTATCCACCATCTCTCTATTTTAATGATTCATCTCTCTCTCGCTCTGCCTCTAGCCGATAAGGTGACAGCGGGGCCAGGTAAACCTGGTGGAGTGATCCGTGTGTATGGAGATGAGAACAGTGACAAGGTGACAGCTGGAACCTTCGTACCCTTCTGCTCCATGGCTCATGCTCAGCTCTGTTTCCATGGTCACCGAGACGCCGTCAAGTTCTTCACGGCTGTCCCAGGTAACTTCACTTCTCCTCCTCCCTCTCTTCTCCTCCTCCTCCTGCCTTTTAACTGGATGAAGGTCCTCCCTCCCCCCCAGGTCAGGTGATCCCGTCAGGTGCTGGCGAAGCAGCAGAGGTGGGGAGTGACAAGGGGGTAGGGGAGCACCCTCAACAGCAACTGGACAGGTCTGTTCTGGTGATGAGTGGCGGAGAGGGATACATCGACTTCAGGATGGGTGAGTTGGCTAGGACGATCATATCAGACAATCAATTGACAAGTACAATCCGTATATGAAAACATACAGGTTTGTATGAGTTGAAGTGGCTTAATGTTTAATGTCTTGCTGTGTGTGTGTGTGTGTGTGTGTGTGTCTTTGTCTGTGTGTGTGTCTGTCTGTGTCTTTGTGTGTGTGTGTGTGTGTAGGTGACGAGGCTGGGGAGACTGAGGAGCCACTGGATGAGCACACTCTGAAGCTGCAGCCGTTCCTGGCTAAAGCTGAGAGGAGTCACCTGATCGTCTGGCAGGTCATGGGCAGTCAGGCCTGAACTTTAACCCCTGATCTCTGACCCTGCCACAGAGATTAGGAGTGGGAGGAGCCTGCTCAAAGCAGGAACAAGCTGCCCAATCAGATTCACTCTTCTGCATGTTTCTTTTTGTTTTACGGTTATTTGTTTATTTAATTTTAAATTTGACTGATTGTATCGAATTTTAAATCTGATACAAGCCTGTTGCTCTTCTATCATTACTATAATTATTATTATTACTATAATTATTATTATTGAAAACAAAATCATTTCTGTTTATTTAATTTTCTTAGGTCATGTTTTGCACATGGTTTTCTATTGGACGCTTAGTGTCCAACCCCTCTGTCCAAATACTGTGTGGTGATTGGTGGAATCCATGTATGTTCAGGGTGTGTCTTTGGCCACACCCTTGTCCTCATCTCTGCTTCCTTTCAGTAAAGGACAGAGAGGAGACAATACTGTATGAAACTCTACGAGACACAGGATAATAATGATGTCTGTGTTTGAACTGCAAAACCAAATCAACCGCATGATGTCTCACGTCGTCCAATAAGAAAGCAAGGATTACAGGACAATCCAGCGAGGGAGCCAATCCTCTGTCCTAAATGACATAGGTGTGCTCTTCTTGCATGCTCATTTGTGTTTAATTTTGTGAGAACATGGATGTTGATTGTATGCAAGACAGTTTAATCAATTGTCAGTTTTCTGGACCTGGGATCAGTGTTGTTCTCCATGACTATGATGTATGTTTAGGAAAACCTAATAGATCACAGATCAATCATGTCTGTAGCTGCAGGGTCAGAGAATCGCCCTATTCCAATACTTAAAAATGCATCCTCCCTTCCTAGGGGTAATTACAACTGGGTTGGATTGATGATTGAAATAATAGAATGGAGACAGATTAGTTATTAATGACCTCACGGAAGGTAGGTAGGAAGGCAGGGTTGCACTTTAAGAGTGTTGGAACAGGGTCTCTGACTTTAGTTTCTGGGCTGCTGCTCTCCCGTCTTCCTTCCCACCAGCTAGAGTTTGCAGACATTTTACGAAAATCAACGGCTGCCTTAGGTTTGAAAGTTACAAAAAAACAAAACATTATGGACTTTTGAAGTGTGACCGAGTATTTATACCTATGTAAAAGGATGTTACACAGACGGTTACCAAAGGAAAATAATTTCAGTTGATCAGAATAATGTGAATGTACGGCATTGTAGCAGCATTTTCAGCCCGTCTCTCTGTAGATACAATAATATTTTGACAGACAGTCTCTTATAAGGTTCATGGTGTATAGATAGATGGATAGAAAGATATATTTTTAAGCTATCATCTCTGCAAATGAACTAAGAGCATTTTCTAGAGAGCAGAGATGTGAGAGTGTATAATAGCTGGTTTCTCTGCTTCTGGAGTCTTTTGTATGCTGAGAGTAGATGTTACCCATAGGCACAGATCTAGGATCAATTTACCCTCCAAATCCCAACGTGAACAATTAGGGGGGAACAACTCAACACTGACCTTAGATAAGCGTCTAGGGGCAACGTCTTCCTTTTACCTTTTGTACACTAGGGGACAGGGTGACTGTGAACTCTGACCGAACAGGATCCCTCCTGATAGGTTGACATGATACTGAAGTGTTCAGAGACTATTTTAAGCCTATTTTTATTATTGACTTTTTGTACATTTGTCTTTTTGACCCTAATCTGTGGTTGCGTCTAGATGGGGAGGAAGGTGTCATTTGACACACTCAGTCGGTGTCTCTGGTCTGTGTACCAGCAGATTGTGCTGGTGAGTGTTACTCCGGAGTCTGTCCTGAGGAGTGAACAAGGGTGTGTGTGCGTGTGTGCCTTTGTGCCTGTCAGTGTGTGTGTGTTTCTCCTCTCCAGGAGAAGAGGCGCCTCATATCGCAGTTTAGCCATTTCAGTATTTATTTCTATGAAAGAGCCTTTGCAGTTCAGAATGTAACTTTGTACAATATGAAATATGACTATATATGAATATAAAATGTATATCAAACATTGAAATGGCTTGGGTTTATTGTTTTGACACTGTTATTGGAATGGTTGAATTGGAGAGGGAGTAACTACTGAGTTATGCTCTACACTCAGTGTACAAAACATTAAGAACAACTTCATATAATATTGAGTTGCACCACCTTTTGCCCTCAGAAAAGCCTCAATTCGTCAGGGCATGGACTCTACAAGGTGTCAAGCGTTCCACAGGGATACTGGCCCATGTTGACTGCAATGCGTCCCACAGTTGTGTCAAGTTGGCTGGATGTCCTTTGGGTGGTGGACCATTCTTCTTGATACACACGGAAAACTGTTGAGCGTGGAAAAACATTTTGTCTTACCCATTCACCCTCTGAATGGCACACATACACAATCCATGTCTCGAGGATTAAAAATCCTTCTTTAACCTGTCTCCTCCCCTTCATCTACACTGATTGAAGTGGCTTTAACAAGTGACATCAATAAGGGATCATGGCTTTCGCCAGGATTCACCTGGTCAGTCTGTCATGGAAAGAATAGGTGTTCCTAATGTTTTGTACACTGTATATCCCGAGGGGGAGGTTGAGTGCACTGGGGATAAGTTGTCATTAGGCACAGATCTGGGGCCAGTTTAACTTCACAAAATCCTTCGTTACTGCTCTGGTAAAATGTGTGAAACTGACTTTAGTCAGTGCCTAAGATCAACTTCTTCCAACTCCAACCTGGAGGTTGATGAACAGGTCAAGGTTCCCCCTCTGACTTGTCATGTTGCCGTGACTATGGTTGTCCCCAGTAACAGTACATGGATCACCTATCTATGTACTGCTACAGCATATCTTTAGCCTTAATTATTTTAACAATCAATTAAACTGACTTGTGAGGAAACTCTTGTGTGTCTTCTCCTTATTTGCTTTTTACAAGATTTCCAAGAATATTGGAATCACTGTCAGCTGCTATTTAACAGACCTGGGTCTTTCCAATACATGAGGTGTGCTTAAAATTGACCTCTTGAAAGAAAAAAATAAGAAAACAAAAAAACAGCATACATGCAGTGAGCGCCAAAAGTATTGGGACAGTGACAAATGCTTTAAGTTGATGGTATTTTCATCCATATGGGGTGAACAATTTAGGAATTACAGCACTTTTTGTACATAGTCCCCAATACATTATTTACCATTCATTTCTATTGGGCACAACATAATCTGAAACACAACCAAAACAAAACAATTTTATAGAGTCAGAAGCTTAATGTAATCATTTTGACCACTTTAATACACAAGTTAATTTGTCTCTACTTTTGGTCCCCTATGTACATAAAGTGCTGTAATTTCTAAATGATTCACCTGATATGGATGAAAATACCCTCAAATTAAAGCTGACAGCCTGCACTTTAGCCTCATAGTCACTGCTCAAAAAAATAAAGGGAACACTAAAATAACACATCCTAGATCTGAATGAATGAAATAATCTTATTAAACACTTTTTTCTTTACATAGTTAAATGTGCTGACAACAAAATCACAAAAATTATCAATGGAAATCAAATTTATCAACCCATGGAGGTCTGGATTTGGAGTCACCCTCACTACAGGCTGATCCAACTTTGATGTAATGTCCTTAAAACAAGTCAAAATGAGGCTCAGTAGTGTGTGTGGCCTCCACGTGCCTGTATGACCTCCCTACAACGCCTGGGCATGCTCCTGATGAGGTGGCGGATGGTCTCCTGAGGGATCTCCTCCCAGACCTGGACTAAAGCATCCTGGATGGAGCGAGACATGATGTCCCAGATGTGCTCAATTGGATTCAGGTCTGGGGAACGGGCGGGCCAGTCCATAGCATCAATGCCTTCCTCTTGCAGGAACTGCTGACACACTCCAGCCACATGAGGTCTAGCATTGTCTTGCATTAGGAGGAACCCAGGGCCAACCGCACCAGCATATGGTCTCACAAGGGGTCTGAGGATCTCATCTCGGTACCTAATGGCAGTCAGGCTACCTCTGGCGAGCACATGGAGGGCTGTGCGGCCCCCCCAAAGAAATGCCACCCCACACCATGACTGACCCACCGCCAAACCGGTCATGCTGGAGGATGTTGCAGTCAGCAGAACGTTCTCCACGGCGTCTCCAGACTCTGTCAAGTCTGTCACATGTGCTCAGTGTGAACCTGCTTTCATCTGTGAAGAGTACAGGGCACCAGTGGCAAATTTGCCAATCTTGGTGTTCTCTGGCAAATGCCAAACGTCCTGCACGGTGTTGGGCTGTAAGCACAACCCCCACCTGTCGACGTCGGGCCCTCATACCACCCTCATGGAGTCTGTTTCTGACCGTTTGAGCAGACACATGCACATTTGTGGCCTGCTGGAGGTCATTTTGCAGGGCTCTGGCAGTGCTCCTCCTGCTCCTCCTTGCACAAAGGCGGAGGTAGCAGTCCTGCTGTTGGGTTGTTGCCCTCCTACGGCCTCCTCCACGTCTCCTGATGTACTGGCCTGTCTCCTGGTAGCGCCTCCATGCTCTGGACACTACGCTGACAGACAAAGCAAACCTTCTTGCCACAGCTCGCATTGATGTGCCATCCTGGATGAGCTGCACTACCCGAGCCACTTGTGTGGGTTGTAGACTCCGTCTCATGCTACCACTAGAGTGAAAGCACCGCCAGCATTCAAAAGTGACCAAAACATCAGTCAGGAAGCATAGGAACTGAGAAGTGGTCTGTGGTCACCACCTGCAAAACCAGTCCTTTATTGGGGGTGTCTTGCTAATTGCCTATAATTTCCACCTGTTGTCTATTCCATTTGTACAACAGCATGTGAAATGTATTGTCAGTCAGTGTTGCTTCCTAAGTGGACAGTTTGATTTCACAGAAGTGTGATTGACTTGGAGTTACATTGTGTTGTTTAAGTGTTCCCTTTATTTTTTTGAGCAGTGTATAATTTCAAATCCAAAGTGCTGGAGTACAGAGCCAAAACAACAAAACATTTCACTGTCCCAATACTTTTTGGAGCACACTGTGTGTGTAAACCAAACACAATGGATATCAACGT